CATCCCCCATTGTAATGGTGTATGTTGTAATTTCATTTGTAAGTAGTCTAAATTTGTTTTGCAAATCTTCAGCGATGAAGTTGTGAGTAGTCCCACCATCAATGAGAATGATTATCTCTTCTCCAATCTTTCCTTTCACCTTCATAGTATGGTTATCTCCAACCCCAGTGATGGAGTTCAATGATAACTCAATTTGCGTCACCTCCTCTTTATCTTTTGGACATTCTTCTTTGTGTTCAAGCAGTGCATCTCCTTCTTCTATGTCCTCATCAAATCTCGACTCCATTATCAACACTTGAAGATTCTTGACTTTGCATTGATGGGTGGGACCATATTTGTCACCACAATTGAAATAGGGCCCTAGTTCTTTGTGTCGTGCTATCTCTACTTCAGACAGTCACTGGGTGTTGTACCCCTTTGAGAGAATGTAGTGTGTGATTTCTTATTTTTCTTCCATAGAACTGCTCGGTACATATATATATAGAGAGAGAGATTGATACAATCGTATAAAATCCTCTCTCAATAAAATAAAATAAATAGGAGATACTAATCTGAATCCTAAAAGACAAAATTGAACAAGATAATAATAATAAACTAAGAAACCCTAGAGATAATGGGCTCAAAGAATAAAAGTCCAATTCTAACACTCCCCCTCAAGCTGGGGAATAGATGTTGATCATTCCCAGCTTGCTCACAAAATCTTCAAACTTAGTTCTAACAAGATGCTTAGTCATCACATTATCTACTTGTCTTCCAGATGAGATGTAAGATAAGTCTATGACTTTATTTTCTATCTTCTCTTTGATGAAGTGTCGGTCTATCTCAACATGCTTTATGCGATCATGTTGGATAGGATTGTTAGCAATCTTCAGTGCAGCCATTCTATCACACCACATCTTAATTGGGGTATTCATTGGTATTTCAAGTTCTTCCAATAACTATGTAATCCACATACCCTCACAGATTCCATGAGACAAGGCCTTATATTTTGATTCTGTAGAACTTCTTGATACTACTGATTGTTTCTTACCCCTCCAAGTTACTAGGTTACCCTAGACAAAAGTGCAATGCCCAGTTGTGGACCGTCTATCATTAATCGCACCTGCCCAACCTGCGTCTGTATATATTTCCACATTTTTCTGTTCTTCCATGCCGATTGTCATCTTGGTTGCATTTTTGTAAATTTCTATACCCTTCTGATTATTCTTAGAAAAGAATAAACCTTTTTTGGGTATCGTCTTGAGGTATCTTAGAATCTGATACACTGCTTTCATGTGTTCTTTTGAGGATTACTTGCGAATTGACTGACAACTCCCACTGCAAAAGAGATATCTGGCCTTGTGTGAGACAAGTAAATTAACTTTCCCACCAACTTTTGATACCTTTCTTTATTAACAGATTTTCCATCTATTTTTACTTCCAATTTGCAATAAAGCTCCATTGGAGCATCTGTAGGCCTAGCCCCTAGCATTCCAGTCTCGTTGAGTAAGTCAAGTGTATACTTTTGTTGAGATACACTAATACCCTTAGAAGATCGAGCTATCTCTCTCCTAAGGAAATATTTTGTGCTTCCAAGGTCTTTCACCTCGAATTCTATAGCCAATTTCCCTTTCAACTGTGCAATTTCTTCAGGATCATTGCCTGTTAAGACTATATCATCCACATAAACAATCAATGTAGTTATTTTTGAGCCACAATGTTTTAACAAACAAAGTGTGATCAGCTTGGCAATGCTTATAACCAAATCCCTTAGCAGCACGTGCAAACCTTTGAAACCACGCCCGTGGGGATTGTTTTAGCCCATATAAGGATTTTCGGAGATTACAAACTTTATTCGCATTTTTAGGATCCCACAACCCTTAAGGGACTTCCATGTATACTTCCTCTTTCAAGTCACCATTTAAGAAGGCATTTTTGACATCTAATTGATGCAAAGGCCAATCTAAGTTCGCTGCAAGAGAAAAATGCACATTTATACTATTAAATTTAGCAACAGGAGTAAATGTTTCTTGGTAATCAATACCATATGTTTGAGTGAATCCTCTAGCAACCAATCTCCCCTTATATCTATTAACACTCCCATCTGGATTATATTTTTTGGTAAAGACCCATTTGCTCCCCACAACAGACTTTTCGGGAGGTAAGTCAACAATCTCTCGTGTTTGATTTTTACTCAAGGCCTTCAGCTCTTCTTCAATAGCTAATCTCCATTTGGGATTAGTCACAGCCTTATCAAAAGTGCTAGGAATATCTTCACTGTCAATACTTGCAACCAAAGCCTTAAACTGAGAGTTAATTTTATCATAGGAGACATACCTGCTAATGGGATGTCAAATACAACTCCTTTTTCCTTTTCTTAGAGCAATAGGCCATTGGATATCTTCAGGACTGGTATCAGGTTGAGAGTCATGACTTTGCCTTGGAAAAATAATGGGATTGTCTCTTTGCACCTGCTGACCTTGCTGATTCTCCCCTGATCTATTCACAACAGACTCTAAATTTTGGTCTTGGATGGCCATTGGTAATGGTTCAGGGTGGTCAGCCTCAGATTCAGGTCTGGTAGGGTAATTAGGACAAGATTCAGGTGTTGTAGCAGAATCAGATTCAGGCAAGTTAGGTGCTGGTGTTGTAACAAGTGAAACGGGTTCAAATTCAAGTTCAGAAATAGAAGCGTCTAGAAGTGTTTGAGGTACAATATTTGGGTCACTAGCTCGTGGGCTAGGTGAGTTGCCACATATTAACCATTCATTATCACTCTCCCCCTGAATGGGTAATTTGGGATAGAATGGAAGAGTTTCAACAAACCAAACATCCAAAGTGACATAAGTATTTCGAGTGGATGGAGAATAACATTCGTACCCCTTCTTTGTAGAAGAGTGTCCCAAGAAAATATATTTAATAGATCGAGGAGCCAATTTTCCACTTGAAGAAGAAAAAACAAAAATAGTACAGCCAAAGATGTGCTTAGGAGAGAGTTAAAAAGGTGAGAGTTAGGCAAAAAGGCTATAAATATCTCAATAGGTGACTGTAATTTTAAGACTTTAGAGGGCATATGATTAATAAGATATGCAGCAGTGAGGACAGCATCCCCCCAAAAACTATTGGGAACATTATTTCCTAGCAAAAGAGCCCTTGCCACCTCTAAAAGATGTCTATTTTTCCTTTCAGCCACCCCATTTTGTTGATGAGTGTTCACACAAGATGTTTGATGGTGTATCCCTTTTTTAGTATGGAAAGTTTGAAAGTTTGAGTTAAGATACTCTGTTCTATTATCCTTCTGAAGAACCTTGATAGAGGTCTGAAATTGAGTTTTAACAAATGTGTGAAAATTTTTAAAAATAGAGAAAACTTCAGATTTGTCTCTCATCAAGAACAGCCACATCAATCAGGTATGGTCCATTTATAAAAGTAACAAACCACCTAGCTCTTGAGTTAGTAACAACCCTAGATGGATCCTAAACATCACTATGAATAAGGGCAAAAGGTTTGGAAGGAACATATGGAGTTGAAGGATAAGAGGTGCAAGTTTGTTTTGCAAACTGGAAAATATCACAATGAAAATCAACCTTCTTTTTATTCATGAAATTGGGGAACAAAATTTTCATGTAATCAAAACTTGGATGACCTAACCTAAAATGCCATAACATAAAGTCTTCATGAGACATAGTAGACAAATAAGAACTTGAATCAGCCATGTAGTCTTTATTTGAGGAGTTGCCTTCAAGATAATGCAACCCATTAAATTCCTTAGCATTGTCAATCGTCTTCCCCAAAGCCATGTCCTGAAAAACACACTTAAATTGGTCAAAAATAACAAGGCAATGTAATTGGTGAGCTATACACTTCACGGACAGCAAGCTACACTATATGTCAGGCACACATAAGACGTTTGTAAGGATTTTATTGGAAGAAATAGTGACTATGCCTGATCCCATAACCTTGGCATAAGTATTATTTGCTACTTGAACACGGGTATGTTCAGAATAGGGGCGAAAATTCAGACAATAATTCTCGAAAAACAGTAATATGATTTGTAGCTCCTGAATCAATTACCCAAATATTGCTTGTTCAGGAAATAGCACTTAAAGTAGTGACAAGTTTAGTACTTGATAGAGCTAAGGTAATAAAGTTAGACCCGAGTTTGCTCAGTGGGTGGGCCCTTTTGGTTGGCTGAGGGAGCTGTCAAGTTCCACATTGGAGTAACCTGGGGAGGGTCCTGACTATATAAGCAGGTGCGCTGCACGCCCTAAGGGTTAACCTTTTGAGGAGGGAGTAATAGCCTCGTGACAAAGTAGTATTAGAGCAGTCCTTCTGTGTCGTACAAAGCAGTGCTCTTTGATCAACCTAGGGTTTTTGCCGCTGGTGATGAGGTCCTTCAATCATCATCAGCATTGGGGGGAGGCCTTAAAACAAGGATCGAGATTGGGGGAGAAAGTCTACAGGGTGCGATTATTCTTGTTCTGACTTTGGGGTTCTGTACCTAATTCCTTCTCTCAAGCTATGATAACCCATCATCTAAATGGGAACAATTATTTACAATGGTCTAGAAATATTCTAATGCTCATCCGTGGGAAAAATAAAGAAAAATACCTCACTTGGAATCCCAAGCCGCTAGCTATTGGTGACCCTCAATATGAAACATGGTGTGTTGAGAACAACTTGGTGATGACTTGGCTTGTTCACTCTATGACAACTGAGATTAGTGAGACCTATTTACTTGCTAATTTTGCTTGGGAAATCTGGGAATTAGCCAAGCACACATATTCTGTCAAAGAAAATATAGCCGCTATTTTTCAAGTGAAAACGATGCTTCGTAGTCTCACGCAAGGGGAAAAACTGTTACTCTCTACGATAGTGATCTCATCAGGCTTTGGCAACAGATCGATCTGTATGAAGTCCACCAATGGTCCTGCCATACAAACGAGGTGTATTTTCGCCAAGTGGTCGATCGCAAACGCTGCTATGAGTTCTTGCTTGGGTTGAATGATAATTTTGAAGATGTTTGAGGATGAATTATGGGCATGAAGCCCATCCCATCCCTAGAAGATGCATTTAATATGATCAGGTATGAGGAAAGTCATAAAGAACTTATTCATAATTCTTCATCTACTCTTTCTATTCTTCCTTCCTCAAGCTTAGAAGCCTCGGCCATGGTGGCACGTGGAAACCAGGGTGGAGAGCGAATGGGGAAGAAGCATCTCAAATGTGATTATTGTAACAAAAATGGTCACACCAGGGAATCGTGTTGGGAAATTCATGGGAAACTAGCCCATATAAAGCAACGAACTAAAGGTGATAAGAAGGGCTTCATAATAAACAACTCTGACAATGACATGCTCAATAATGAAGATCTCTCTGTCTTACGAAGAATTCTAGAAAAGTATTCTCAGGAAAGACCAATTGAGAACACCCTTCTCATTGCTGTACTCCAATTCGAGGTACTCTCAGATTTCAAGTACCTTGTTTTGGCCTTTATTTTCTTTGAATTTTCTATGGCAAAAGGTGTTGTAGGCATGATGCTCTTACTTGCTTTAGGCACGTGAGTTACATGTGTGAAAGAATGGGATTAGGCTGACTCTAGTCTGGGCTTGATATTGGAGCATTGACCTCAGGTAGCCTTAGATTCTCTACAACCCCCTAACATCTAATTCCTCTCATCAACGCACAGTGCCATCTCCACTGCCTCTCACAAAGTTGTTTACGTGAGCTTCAATTTCTCCTTAATCTCATGTTTTAACCCAAAATGGAGGGTCCAATGAAGCACTCCTCTGAAGCTTCCTTCAACGGCGTTGACAAACATTTGAGCTGCTTTAAAAACTCCAAGATTGAATTTTCTTGCTTTGCTGTGAATAATCTCTCAGACTCCCCCTAGTTGGGAAGAATGAAACTGATGTAGCAATTGCTTCTTAAACTCTAGCCAACTCTGTGATGGGGTTCTTGTGTATATCCATTTGTACTAGTTCAATGCTTTCCCCATTGGACAAACCACAACTGCCTCCAATTTGTCATGCTTTGCTATTGTATTAATGTGGAAATACTTTTCTACCTAGAATAGCTAGACAAGAGGGTCATCTCTTGAGAATACAAGTAACTCTAGCTTCCTATACTTCCCCACTTCTTACTCACCATCCAAATGACTCCTAGAGTTTTCCTCCTCTTGATTAGCTCCCTGTTCTTTCTCAAGAGGGTTTGTCACTTTCCTTTATATTTTTCCCAGTGTCATTCATCTTTAGCATCATGTCCTTGAGATCACATACATCAATGGTCAACCCTCCAATAGTCTCCTTCAATTCTTGTACATCTGGATGAGCATATTGTGCCTCTGCCATTCTTCCTTCTTAAAGAGCTTGTAGATCGTACTGCTTTAATACCAAATGATGGAATCTTGCTGAATAATTGAACGAAATAGCACCAGAAAATAATAACAGCAATAAATGAAAGGGAAAATTTTGAGGTTTTCATATTAATGATCAATGAAACTGAATCAGTGTTACAAGCCACTTACTAATTCTTGCCAAAACCCTATTCCCCTCTAAATCAGTACAAACATTCAAAATAATCGAAGACACAGAACACAAAGCTTACTGATAACCACATACACTTATTGGCATATGAGTCTCTCCTAACCATACATCAGTACACAAAATAGATCCCGCCCCCTTCAAAAAACAAAAGACTACTAATGCCTCAAAATATGGCTCTCATACAGCCGCTACTCCCAAAATAGACTTCTAATATATGACTACACTAAGGCTTACTATTCCTTATGGCCAGGATCCAAAGGAAAAACCTCTGAACCAGTCATAGTGTTCCCCATTTAGCTGCTCTCCTTCCTTGGGTTCCTCTTATAGGTCTTAGTGAAATCATGAGCTCTATCAATATCCTAGTTCTCTTCTCTTGGCTGCTGTTCTGGAACCTGTCCTTGTTGTTGTGCCACTGCAACTGGGTCTGTTGGACTCATTTCTGCATTCTGGGAACCATAATTATAATCCTCAAGGCTGCCATTTGCATTAGTTCCACTGGCAGGACGATATGCAGGCTGTTCTGGTTCATTTTCAGGCATTTCAGGGGTCTGGTCAGACTTGACCTGGGGCTGGAAATAGGATGGTTGAATATGGTAAGTTTGGATTTGTGGCTGTTCAGTTTTGAAAAATGGCCATTCCACCTGTTCGTTATCCCCCCTAAATGGGCATTTTGGGGTAATAAGGGAGCTTTTCATCAAAAGTGACATCATTTAAAACAATATATTTATGAGAAGGCGGATGATGGCATTTGTACCCTTTTTAGGTTTGAGAATAACCAACAAAATGGATTTGGAAGCTCGGGTGTTGAGTTTGGAAGGCTTAGAGGTTTGAACATAAACTGTGCACCCAAATATTTTAAGTAGAAATATGTACAAAATATTTTAAGGCTCAGACCAAGGGAGGCACCAATGAGAAGAGTAGAACATATAACTTTGAGTCCAATTAAGAGAGGTAGAGGAAGGCCTAAGAGAACACTCTTGGAAGTTGTTGAACGCAATCTCTTAATTAATAATATTCCTAAAAGCTTGATAAATGATAGAGCACAATGGCGTCTTGCAATCCATGTAGCCGACCCCACCTAGTGAGATAAAGGTTTGTTGTTGTTGTTGTTGTTGTATGTACAAAATTTTAGTGGTACATTAAGTTTTCAAAAGAACTTGTTTAGATGTTTTAAATTGCAAGGTTTTGGATGGAGAATAGTTGATCAAATATGTAGAAGTGAGAACATCACCCCAAAAATTGCTAGGGACATCGGTGGCAAGTAAGATGGAATGAGTCTTGTCAAGTATTTGGTGATTTTTGTGTTAAGAAACCCCATTTTGTTGAGGGATATATGCACAAGAGCTTTTGGTGATAAATGACATGGAAAGCAAGATAATTTTCAAAACCAGCGCTAAAGTATTCACTGGCATTGTCAGTTCTTAAAACCTGAATTTTGACCAGAAATTGGGTTTGAGTCATAGCATGTTATTTGTAAAAACCAAGGGAACCTGAAGATTTTTCCTTGAGAAGATAAACCCAAGTTAAATGTGTGTTTGTCAATAAAGGTGACAAACCAGCGTGTTCCAATGGTTCTTTTTGATAGGGGGAAATTAGGGTTTGTTAGAATCAAACACAATCTGAAAAATTAAATCCTAGATATCAGATCATAACAAATCTGATTCCGATCTAACACAAATGAAAAATACTACCAAGGATATTAACTAATAAATCTGGTTGACCCATATTCAATGGGCTTGGGCCCCAATCAGGCTCCCTAACGGCCTCTATATAATGTGCCAGGGTGTTTTATTGCTTTAGCTTTTCCCAAAACTACTAATGACAAAGTAATAGGTTGTCATTTTATTATACTTGATTTGTCTTGAGAATCTAACGCCCCATTTTCAATGTAGTTACAAGATGCTGGATGCTGGACAGATGCTGCTACCTTAGCTTCAACTCACTTAAATGGATCTGATTATGCAAGGTTCATACTCTTTCTTGAACCATATGAAGGAGATTTTTTTCATAACATAAATAATTTTTTGTTTTACTGCCAACACAATGAGAGGAGTAAATTCACCGAATTTATTTGTCACCATACCATTTTCTGTGATTGTTGCATTACTTATTCTCTTCCTAAATAAAAAAAAAAAAAATCGCACACTGGTTGATATTAAATCATGCATCTCATATAATGTGTTCTGTCTAATTTCTATAAGAATTTGTGTGCTACACTTTTGGTTCCCAATTTGCGCTTAGTCATCATTCTTGTGATTGACTTGTGAGTTCAAAGATTCTGTGAAATGAGAGTTATACAGATTATCCTTTTTGGGAAATGTCGTCATCATTTTTATACAAATGATTTTATGTATATCATTTTACAAGACAAGACATGAAACTTTAGCTATGAGAACCCCTAAATTATAGTTAGCCATATGACCTATATACAGCTAGGATTATGTCCACATCGTATACATACACACTAGAATTCACACTGCACATTTATTTTATCACTCCTGAAGTATGCTGCACCAGGCTTATTACAAAAATAGGTGAAGTGAGGACCTAAGGACATGTTGTAGTTATTTGCTTGCGTTCTTTTGTAGTTGAAAAATCCTAGTTGTAATGCATTCAAAAATTATGTCTTTTATAATGTTAGTCATTTTGAATATGTTTGGTCATCCCATGAAAGTATGAATTGAAGATTATTTTTGGGGTTGCCTTGCTTTCCCTAAATTTGCTACAAGATCACTAAGGCTATGGCACCAAGATAAAGCTTCTGCGCTTAAACCAGCAACAACATTCTGCCTTTTACTTTCCCATGACACTTTCCTCTAACAACAATACAATAATCCTGCGATGGATAACAGAAATACCAACCTATTTATTTGGGGACAGTAATAGGTTTGTGAAAAATAAGGTTTTGGCCTCAGTTCCCTTCAATTCTGTTATTAGTCCTTGTAGTTTGTTTCTTTAGGGATCACTACCTTTAGTTTTATCCTGTTAAAGCGTGCATCCTCCACTTTTTAAACGTTTGCTAATATATATAAGGGAAAATGATTTTTTTTTCCCTCATTGTTTCTGTCAATTTTGGTATCATTCCCTATGGCTTGTTTCTTTGGTAATTAATACCTGAAGTTCTATCCTGTCAAAGAGTTCATCCTCCACTTTTTAGACATTTGCTAATGTGTCTAATGGCATTGATGTGGCTTTAAAAATATTTTTATTTAGTTGGCTGCTCACAGATTAAATAAGCTAATTAGGATCTTTTGTGTAAAAACATTATTGTGAAGGTAAGCAAAGCAAACAGCTTAAAGCTAGTGGGATTTCATTTATTCAAACCAAATGCAGCTTAAAGGGTCAAATTGTTGAAACCTAATTGGGAGAATGATGTTATCATGTGTGTGAGGAATGTAAAAGCTTGAATTAAAAAAAAAAATCCTAGAAAGTTGTAAACAAGGTTGATTTTGGAAAAAGTAATTAAATATTGCACCTTTTTTATGCAAATAACTAATATATAGGATTGGAGGGAGTTTAATATTAAATAATATTGTAAATACATGGTATAATTCTAATATTATATGTTATTATGTTGGGCTATATTCTTAGGATCTCTAATCTAACTAGGAACCCTAATTATATTACCTTAATTTCGTCTTATTTTTTGTTTGATCCTATAGTTTCTTATTACGATGACACCAATTTTAAAAACTTGTTTAAGTATCACAAGCAATGAGTGACATCTAGCAATATATCTAGTTTGTGAATTATATTGCTAAGTCACAAAAAATGTATGTGATTCTGAAATACCTAGTTTGTGAACTGAAGGCAAGGAATGTGTGATCCTATTTATAATTCAATCTATGTTTCTTGATACTTGAGTAGAATAATTGAAAACCAAAGATCAATATAACATTTTGATCCTTTTGAGCACACTGACGCATTTTAGTTCCGCACAATGAAAGGGTCCACAAATATCACTCCTATATGATTATAATAGGGACAAAATCTCTTTTTTTTTTTTTTGGATAAAATGACAGACAGTTCAAATACAGTTAAAAAAGGAAAAACGAAAATAAAACGACACAAGCAAGAAACTAAAAGAAGTAAAAAGATGGAAGACACTTGTCCGCCTGTATGGGGACCATTGTTAAGCATTCTACGTGAACTCCATTGAAGTTTGCAAGTAGAAAATGAATGTCCTTTGCTATTACCAAGTTAAAACATCCAGCTGAGATTTCATTGAAGAAATAATTCGGCCAACATAAGAGGATGAGGTCTTGAAAGCAAAGATCCCTAGGATTGGGAGTGATGGATATAACCCATAGCAAAGTAGATTGAAGGTTGGCTCTCAAATTTGCTCAAATTTGAAGACTAGCGTTTCAACCATGTAAATCTGACAACCTATTGTCCTTGATGAAGAACAAGAATCTCGATTATTGTGAAAATACTCCTCTTTTTCCTGGTACAGATGAAGTGCCATTCTATTCCATGGAAGGAAGAAAATCTCCTGTTAAGGGAGTAAATCAAGATATGTAAAAGCAGGAGATCCTGATTCCACCAGATGAAGGAAGAAAAGTAAGGGCCTGGGGAATATTTGGGGAAGATGACAAACCTAGCCAGGCTTTAAAGGCAGGGCGTGTGTGTGTAAGAGAGAGAAGGGGGGGAGTGGGGGAGGGAGTTAGAGAGAGAGAGGAACTCGACTGAAGATCCAATTGTAACCTGGTCAGAAGTTGCTCGATCTGGCGCGTGAACTACCAGATTCATGTGTGTTTCTTTCAAGTGTTGAGTGGTCTTTGATTTGAGAATCGCACTTCAAATCTTGGTAAAAGAGGGTCATTCTGGACCAAATATCTACGCACTTGGACGGGATTTGTTTCTTGTCTGAAGCTCAGAGAAAAGGCAGAAAGTTCTGTTTTGATGGTCATAGAGGGATCTAACTTCTGGACCTGAAATTTGCTTGCGATCAACTGTCTGGTTTGGCTATATTTTTTGGCAGAATTTTGGATTTTGATTTTGAAGCTCATGCAATTAAAGTGAAAATTCGCCTCTGGCTTAGTGAGGGAACCTCTTGATTTTGTCTTCCCCTCTTCCTGTGCTAAAAATTGTTTGGGGTTTTGTTTTCTGATGTCTACTTGCTGCTGGCTCTGCATTTCCACTCTTTGGCTTATTGCTTTTAGTTAGTATATTTCTGATATCTTTGGATTTGGGAAGCATTAACAAGGCGCATGCATTTAGCTTTATTGAGAGCCAATTGAATTCTCTTGTGGAAAATCAATAGCTCTGCCAGAAGGATTGTTACTCTATGGATTTTAAAGTTTATGAGAATTTTTCTCCCTCACTTTGCTCATACCTTTTCTCATTGATTATGGTAAGAAGGTGGTCTCTATAACTGTCACTGCTTAGTCTTTTGTTATTACAAACTGGATTAGGAGAGTGAAACACCTCTACAAATCCTTTTGACATAATTTCATTGTTGGATTAGGTGTTTAATGGTGTCCTGCTACTAAATCATCTTCAGCATCCGCCTTACAATTTTGTGTTGGGAATAGATGCTTAATTTATCCATTAAATCATTCTTCATCCATTCCAATATGTCTTCGTCAATTTCTCATGGATCCTTGCTTCTCTTTTGCTGGATTTAGTAATCATTTGGATAGATGGAAGTTGAGAATTTCCAAGCATCACAAATGCTGAAGAATCCTATAAATCTATCTAAATTGGTGAAAGTCAATGATTCTTGCCTTTCAACGGACCTAAGTGGGGTGCTTATTGAGAGTTCTCTTGGAATTAAAGGAGTGTGTCTAAGTCGTGAAATCAACATGAGTAATTGGGGCGCCAAATTCCTCTAGAAAAAGCAAATCCTTTAGGCAACTCTTGATGCACATTGCACCTTTTTAATTGGGAAGAAGACCTTGCTTGGGAGCTCCTCAAGATATACAACTAGCCATCGTTTTCAAGTCACATTGTGACTTCAGGCTATAATTTGAAGACTTGTTGGGTTAAGAAACTGAAGAAAGACTGTATCCTTGAAAGTGGCCAATTCAACAATTGTAGAATGAGAAAACTCCTTTCATGGGTGTATTTGAGTTTTCTTCTATTCAAAACTCTAATTCGGTATCTCTGGATATTTTGAATGATACCTTGAATTCTGAAAATTCTTCTACAAAGTTGCCTACAGAGGATAAAGAAAGGCTGAGTTTGATCCAAAAGAGACATAGGGATAGCTTGGCCTAAAAGGATCAGGTAATTATTTCAGAATCTCTATGGAAAAAGCCTAGATTGTTAGTTGATTGTGATGAATGCATTGTTGAATCCTCCTCCTTTCTTGATATATATTCTACTTATAGTCCTCTTTGTTCTTTATCTGGGAAGAAGAGACACTTCGATAGTCAAGTTGATGATCTTCTTGATAGTGATCATGTAAAGAAGAAATTGAAATAAGTTTGGAATTGTTCATCTTCCTTATTGTTTAATTCTTTCATTGCTCATTTTCTGTCAAGAGGTATTGGGGAGCTGACCCTCAAAAGCTTCCCAAGAAGCCACGAGAGCCTTGTGCTGGAATTGTTGTGGCACCTAGGAAAGCCACGGCAGTTCAAAACTTACAACAACTCATCAATGCACATTCTCTAAATTTTGTTTTCCGTTCTGAAATGAAAGTCAGTTGTGATGTTGCTTGCAAGCTCCTTTCTAATCTAGGTTTTATTAATTTTGTGAGCTGTAGTGCCGTTAACTTGGGAGGGGGAAATATTTTGGGTTGGTCTAATGCTTTTGTTGTCACTGTTTTGGATTGCACCCCCCATTTCATCCATTGCAAGGTCTCCTTTATGGCTCTTAATGAAAGCTACATTACCTTTGTATATGGACCGCCTCTTGCATCAAATTGTTACGTTGGACTTGGATTTATCATACCACTCCCACTATTCATAGCCCTTTGCTATTAATTGGTGATTTTAATTAAGCTGCTAGCGGTGATGACAAGCTAAGTAACAACCTAAGCTCTAATGGGGCTGATCTCTTCCATAGTTGTATCTTTGATAATGGTTTATCTATCATTCATCAAACGGGTCCTAAATTCACTTGGTCAAGAGGAAGAGCAAATGTCGAGGAAAGAATGGACTTTGCCCTTTGCAACAATGAGTGGTTAACTCTGCATCCTTACTCCAATGTCCAAAATATAGGCATTGTTGTATCTGATCACTCTCCAATATTCTTTTCTTCATTCTGATGGCTAAAAGGGCAAACATTTAAAGGTTTAAACCTTTTTGGTACAACTTTGAGGACTACAATAGTTTGATTACCTCATGTTGGAACTGTGTGTTTGAAGGCTCTGCTCCTTTCAAGCTTCATGCTAAGTTGCCAAGCACTTTAAAAACATTGTGTGATTGGAGCAAGATCAAAATTGGTCACATACCCTCTAGAATTGCTAATCTAGAATGAGAAGTAGTCTCCATTTTTCCAAGATTAATGAAGTGAATGAAGGTGAACTAACTAATAGTCTACTTGACACTCAACATGAACTTGAATTCTTATATGAATGTCAACATAGTTTATGGAAGCAGAGGGTTAGGGATAAATGGCCTACTGATGGGGAGCGCAACACAAAGTTCTTTCATTCAATGGTTAATCAAAGGAAAGTCAAGAATTTTGTTAGCACTTTACAAAGAGAGGATGGCTCTTGGACTCAATGTCAGAATGAGATTCAATCTATGAGTTGGCACGCACTATTTCAACAACTTATTCTCTTGTAATAACCCTTTATCAGTCTCTGATGTATTGTAATAACACAGCTTTTCTCTCCTTTGACTAATCAGGCAATCAAAGAGGCAGTTTTCTCTCTTCCCAAAGATTCTTCCCTTGGACCCAATGGTTCTCATGCAAGTTTCTTTCAAAAGAATTGGGAGATTTTTGTTAAGGACATAATCGATATGGTTAAGCATATTTGGATCTGAGTTCATTCTTAGAGCCTTAAATAAAAGCCAAATCATGAGTTTCAACGATCTTCGCCCAATTAGCCTCTACAACACTGCATAAAAAATTGTCTCCAAGACTTTATGCAACCGTCTTAAAGGTGTTCTTAATTCCCTGATTTTCCCAAATCAAAGTGCTTTTATGAAGGATTGTTTAATGGCTGTTAACATTCTCTTGGCTTCAGATCTTATGCATCAAATTCATCATGCACATTCAAAAAAGACTAAATTGGGGGCTGTTAAAATAGACTTCTCTAAGGCCTTTGATAGAGTTTCATGATCCTTCCTTTCTGCAATCTTGATCAAGATGAATTTTCCACAGAAATGGATCAATCTGATTCATCAATGCATCTCCACTGTTGAATATCAACTCCTCTTCGATGTAAACCTGTTGAGGACTATTAAGCCTCCTAGGGGAATTAAACAAGGGAATCCTTTATCTCCTTATCTCTTCATTTTAATTGCTAATGTCTTATCATGTATGATTTAGAATCAAGAAGAGAGGGGACTTTGGAAAGGCATTAAGGTTTGTCAATCTGCAAAACCAAATTCCCATCTCTTGTATGCGGATGACTCACTTCTATTCTTTTGAGCGTACAAGAAGGAATTTGGAATCCCTTAAATTTACTTTGGCAAAATTTTGTAGAATTTCTGGGCAGGAAATTAACTTTGTCAAATATTCTTTTATTGTGAGCCCTAATACTTGTCATATTCTCAAGGAAGAATGGGCTAACTAACTAGGTTTAGCTTGGAAAATATCTTGAAACTTGGGTTGATCTGGGCAAAGATAAATCTGGCTTATACTCCCAGATAAAGGAATCTATTGGCAAAAGACTGGCTTCTTGGAAGATATCTACTGCATCACAAGCTTCTAGATTAACTCTGATCAAATCAATCCTTTCTGCTGCAAATATTCACCAGTTCTCTTATGTTAAACTACCTTTGTCTGTTTGCTACGAGATTGATGCAAAATGCATTGATTTTTTCTGGGGCATTCAAGACGGAAAAAAGAGGATGCATATGGTTAACAAGAATCTTCTCACCTCTCCCAACAATCAGGAAGATTGGGTCTTAGGCCTATTCATTTGGTTAACAAAAACCTTTTAGAAAAACAAATTTGGAGGTTGATACAATCTCCTAATGATTCACTTGTGGGATCTTTTCTAAAGAGGAAATGCATATATTTTAGCTTTCCATCTCTTCTCAAATGGCCTCAGGAAATTTTTTTCAGTTGCTCAGGCTTCATAATCAGACATTTTAAATGGAACATTGGAAATAGGGAGATGGCTCCCTTCTGAGCAGTTCATCTTTCGGACATCTCAAAGTCTTTGATCTCATCATTCCCTCCAACTCCCCTTGTTTCGCTTTAGAATGGAATGTAAATTCCCTGAACTTAATGTATCCCATGCAGACAGTTAAGAAGATCTCTTCCATCCCTATCTGTTTCTCGGGACAACAGGACAGGATGACACAGAAAGGATGTGCCTCTGGTTCGTACAATGCTAAGGATGGATATAAATCAGTTTCAGGGGGAATTGGGCAGCTATCTTCATGCTACTTTTCATGCTACTTTTCCATGGTCCCTCTTCTGGAAGACTAAAGTTCCTTTGAAAATGCTGGTCTTTTTTTTTTTTTTTTGGAAGCTTCTTCATGAAGCATTACCCACTTGTGACATTCTCCAAAAACACCATTTGTTTTCTAAAAAGAAAATATTCTTTTGGATGTTAGGATGAGGAATCGATTTCTCACCTTTTCTTTGGATGCCCTTTCTCAAGGGCTCTCTGGTTTGGCTCCTTGTCACTAAAGACATATTTCTTAAATTGTTCAAGTTACTTGCAGCCTCTCAAGGATTTCATCAAGAGGTTACTTTTGGATAAGGAAATGGATCTACTTGAGAAGTTCATAATTTTATTACATAGTATTTGGAAGATTTGGAATTTAGTCATTCATAATGTCTCAAGCTTAATCTGCACAGAGCCATAGAAGAATTTCATCATTCATATCATTTCCTAAAGAATATTTTTAACTGGGATGAAAAAGATCTGCATGCATCTGATTTTAGCGCTCCTTACTCACATCCTTCCGCATTATTTGCAACATGGCTAACCATTACCTTTTAGGCCCTGCCTTCTAAAGGTGACATTAGGTAGTATCAAGGTATGTGATGTCTTGAGTGAAGAATTATGTTGATTATGGGTCAAAGGACCACTAATCCCTATGAGGATTGCTTAAGACATTCTTTTAATGATATATTGAAGCATTATGGATCAGAATTCCTTGATCGATTCACATACCCGGTGCCAGTATATAGAGATTATAAGGTATCTCTATACAAGGAAATAATATCCAATATTAACTACCTTAATCCTATCTAATCATATCTCTATAAATAATGAGTCAATCCCTCTCTTAAATAAATACATTAAATCTGATTATGCTCACATATATGCAATATTCTCATGATGGGTGGTCTGATAAATTGGTTTTCTGGCACGTACCCAATGTAAATGACTTGATTACTCATCCATGATCATGGTCCATTAGTTATCAATCAACCTCCGTATTAGTCTCATGTTAATTCTATCTGGGTTCATAGTGTTGACTAAAGACATTTTGAGAATAATAAATTGTTCTATTAACAATTAATGCATTACTACAGATATATGATCAAGTACAATGATTTAATTGCTTTAATAAATATAACATAACATATAAACAATCATCTTATGTTTGATTTCTTAGGCATACCCGAATGACCCATGTCTTTTGTCTGAAAGTGTTCGAAGGTGTTCTTTCAGTTGAAATATGCCTTACTGTTCACGTTGACAATAAAGTAAATTCCTAGATTTGGGGCTGTGACAATAGTGTATTGAATGATCAGCGTCAATCTAAACGATACCAAATTGCTGCACAACTGTGATAATGTCCAAACCAATCCCATGATGATTGTTCCAACCCATAAATAAATCATCATAGCTGGCAAACCAATCCTCTCCTAGCAATGAAATTTGGAGGTTGCTCATCATGGAGAAAAATATTTATAAAACCGGGTCATAATTGACTTGGAGCCTTACCTTCAATGTTGGATTCTTGCAGGGTGTTGCAAAGGTGGGCCGGGCATGTTCTTCACAGTGAACATAATATATGGAGGTATGATCATTTTTCTGTTTTATTTTCATCTTCTCTGTGACAAGAATATCAATTTGTTTGAGCTTGTCATGGCTCATTGCAGGGCTCTGATCTTGTATGTTGCTGCTGGTGCACTGCAAGAGGCATTGGCAGCACTTCGTGAGGCTCAACTACCTGACACAGCTGCAATGTTCATTCTCGCTTGCCGTGAAATCCGTGCAGAGTTAGTTTCCAAGTTAGGTAAGACGGACGATGAATCAAATTCTTCCATCCATGATAAGGTACTACACTTGTCAGGGTTAGATCCACAGAATGAAGATGTCATTGCAGTTGGTGAATACTTTGGGCAGTATCAAAGAAAGTTAGTGCATCTATGCATGGATGCGCAGCCATTCTCAGACTAAGTTACAGAGTTTCTTGACATTGATTCAATTCTTTCAATTTATATTCCTGATACAAAAACAAAATGTTCTAGGTTGACTCACATAATAGTCCTGTTTATCCTTTAGGTCAAAGGATCAGATGGTTTCAATAAACAGTCGTTGCTAAAAGTGTGTATACTGGAGAGAAGGCATGCGAATGAAAATGATCTAGAGCAATTTGGAGAGGCAGTATATCAGTTTTGATTAAAACTATTCTGATTAATTGCAGAGAAAACATTCTCCATAAAAGGTTTTTTTCTTGGGTTGATTATACTATAGCAGCTGGTGTGTAAATTTGTGCCTGCTGCGAATTATTTGTAAACGTTTCTGTTTGATACGATGAGTTGAGGAGGTTGGATATGCAGCTTGAGAATAGTATGCTATTGTCAATGATTACAATATTTCCTTGCCGTTGTTGGATAATTGAGCATTCTTTTTTGTTCAGTCTTAAGTTCTCACTATTGTCTTCTAAGAATCGTTACACGGTTGGGAATGATCATATTCTGATTCCCACGTTTAGTGTATTACAAATATTCCTAAATCATTTTCCAAAGAGCATTCATCTTCCAAACATTTTAAATTTTATTGAAATATGTTGATAAGTTTTGAATGAATAAGAACAAACTTGTATTGAGCCTATTGAAAGGTGCACATAATGTTGAAGAAATGACAAAAATTTCGTATTATTCAGCTTACGACCTCCGTGATCTTTTTATTTTTATTTTATTTTACAATGATTTTAATGCCATTACTGGTGCCCCATTCCCTTATGCATTGCTGCTACATGCTGTTACACATGTTTTTTTTTTTTTTTTGACAAAACATATAAACCCTATCATTTTCAGGGATCTAAAACTCTATAGTTGTATTGAGTACATCAATTTTTTTCTTTGTTACAAGACTTGAAATTATTATATTGTGCTTCATTGTGATAACCGGAGGGCTATATTATTTACCTTAAGGATTTAACAATGAGTAAGATCAAATTGATGATTAGACTCATTGTCTACATATCCACCAATTGAGTTCTTATTGAATCAAAATTTATGACAACTTTTAAGTTGGATGGACTTTTTTTTTCGTTAATTTAATATTGCAGTGGTATTTAATTAACTAATTGAATTATCTAAATAAACATTACACACGTATGAAAAGATCATTGATAAGCCTAAGTCATATCAACTTCAAAGTAACTAAGCTACAACCTTTATGTAGGTAGGGTGCAACCTAAGTTATCCTTTCCAACAAATTGAATTGATATTGAATTAGAATTAATTCCAAGTATGACAAAACAGTGGCAAAATGTTTTGATTCACTTACCTAAAGTGCAATTAAAAGAATCAGGACTAGTATTTTTGTGCTTTTCAATATATATAGAAAAATGAATAAATGTGTTCAATTATAGATATAAATTTCTTGAAATTTAGTGGAATGCAATCTTTGTCACAAATATTTAATTAGCTAAGCTCTCATTCTTATTAATCTTATGTAACCGAGACAACCATTTGAACCTAACAAATATAGTTATCATACAATCCGAGAGTTGTAGTAATCATATGATAAGCTAGACTTGTCTTGTTAAACTCCTAATGTATAAACTGTTATTAAATATGTTAGAAACAGCCACAAACAGTACCTTATTTGAAAGTAACCAATTGTTTAAATCCAAATTAAGTTTCAACCATACGATTTAATACATTGGTTGGTCCTTTGTAATGCAAAGGATATTACATTATGCAAAGAGGTTATCTCAGACGGTGTAATAGGGATTACATTACAAGACCCATGCAACCCCCACTCCCACGAACCTGAATCCATTTTTGTACCAAAATAACCCACCCTCTTGTCATCTTCCTTTGAACCCCCCCCCCCCCCATCCTTCCCCATGCTCTGGGTTTGACTCCATATCACCCATCACAGTCATTTTCTTCCCCTCATCCACCGTCGCTGAAAGCTTGACACCACACCAAAAGTGATCGTCAAACTAGTCTATTCCCCTTAATCATCTGCCTCTGCATCCTCAAACTCACTGACATCAACCTTCGCTTGTCTAATCACATCAGAAACTGATCTCTGCTTCAAATTATCGTTCATTGTTGATTTCTGTATATGATTTCTATGCAAGGAAGAAGGAAATTTGTACATTGTTGTATAAAGGGTGATGATGGTGAAGATAACAAAGGAAGGAGGGGAGTTTTTTTTTTAAAGGGTATTTTTGTCTTTTAAATTTTATTTGCATTTAATTAAATATCAAAAATAAATTTTATTTTACCATTTCTAAATGTCATACCAAACGAATACTATGTACATACCATTACATTACATTCTCAACTATTACATTCCTTCTCATTCAGTGAACTAAATGGCCCATTAAAGTACACTAGCTACAATCCTTCAAATTAAATTAAAAAATTTAGGAAAATTTCAACTAGAATATAATAGAGAAGAAAACTAAAGTTAAAATTATTTAGTCTCTTTAAAGATCAAATATTCATGCAGATCCACTTTACTCCTTGGAATCTAAGTGAACTAGCCTTGCATCATTGCCCCCAAATTCATCTCCAAAAGCATGAGAAAATCGGCCATATAGGATAAATGAGATGGTATGTGTGTTTGATGAAAAAGGAATTGGATAAGTGAATGGAATGAAAGGAGTTGAATCGGACAATGTAAATTAAACATTGCTCTGATCAGTTTGGAATTGAAGTTGATTGGGAGAAACGTGCAAGATCAAAGTGGAGAAAGAGTGAGGCAGTGGAGAGAAGAGATAGAGAAATACTTAGGTAGATCGGGTATACTATTTTATCTGTAGTTTGTCTAATTAAAATGTTTCAAATAATCTAAATAAAATTTTATGTGACATTTTTTAATTAATTTTATTCTTATAATAGAATACATGTTTAATTTTTTACATTTTTTCTCTTTACTATCATTAATATCAGACTTAATATATATTTAATATCATTTAAATGTCATATTTTTATTAGATAGACTACAAATGATATGGTGCACCTGGTCTACCTAAAAATTTCTCAAAGAGATAAAGACGAATTGGAATGGAAGAATTCTCACATTATCTAGAAGATGCTAGTTTAGCGAAATATCTTCCATTTGCAATACCATCCTCGAGAGATTTTTATTTGTAGACTATCCAATAGGATTGCACTATCTCATTCAAACAAAACCTAATATGATATTGTTTCTAATGATTTTATTTTTAAAATAGGGTATCTCTTTAATTTCTTGCATTTTCTCTCCTATTATCATTAATAGCATAATCTTTATATTTGTAACCATATGACTAGACATGTTTTTATTAAATAGTTTTACAAATGACGTGGTACATGTAATAATTGCTCCCATTCCCTCAATGTTTATTAGGGAACAAATGGTCAAACTTTAAATGTATGGTTAGTACTATTAGGTAGCATTTGGATTCATGGATTTGATTTAGATTTTAAATTTAAAATATTATATTTTAAATCTTACATTTGAAATCTATATATTTAAAATTATTTTTTTGGATAGTTTAAATTATTTCAAATAAAGGAGAGATGAATTGAGATTTGAAACAAAAATAAAAAAAATTAGAAATTACAGGTTTACTTATACTATTTAATCTACAAAAGATGGTATGAAATATGAGTCATAGATCTATTGATAGTAAAAACAAGAAGAGTATGAGATGTTTGAAGTAATTATAATTTTAAATAAATAGGATGTAGAGGGAATTTGAAATTGTAAAAGAACTACAATTTTAAATAGATTTAAACTTGCATTAAATTCAAATTTATAAATTTTTGTGTATCCAAATTAGGGATTTGCTCCACATCTAAATTTAAATCCACGTTAATGCAAACACATCGTTAGATTAATCCATGACGATGGGAGACAGATATTGTGACATTTGGGAGGCATTTCACAATCATTTGAATGATTTTGTGAACGCTATCAAAATTCTTGGTATACCACCCAATCTTCTTCATCTTTTATTATTATTATTATTATTATTATTAGCTAAATGGAAATTTGTTTTCAGGTCCAGAAAAAAAAAAGGATTTGGATTTCATTACTTTAGTGACTAAAGTCATTGACATTGGTTATAAAGTAATGGATAATTTTGTTGTAACTAGAATCAAGAATACTCAATTTTTAAAAAAAAAAAAAAAACTCTACATCTCATAATCGATTGGAGAAGAAGAACAATGTAGAACTATTTAAGAAAGTTTTGAGTTTTACGAGGGAAATGGGATGGAGGTTCACTACATGGTGCTATTTAACAGGTTTGGATGGAATTGAAGTGAGTGTTCCTAACTCTAGTTACAACAAAATTATTCAGACCAATGGAGAGCCTGGATATGCAGGTTAAGTCACTCGATGACTTTCACTAAAGCCATGGAATCCAAATCCCAAAAAAAAAAAAGGATAAATTGAAATATGTCGGGTTACGTAATTTCCTTTTATACTAGACAAGGGTTTTCATCATTTAGTTCCTTTTTATTTTAAGGGACCTTGTATTTCAGCCCACATCCCAATAATTCTGCTGTTATTATTATTTCATTTATCTCCATGATTTTAGGAATATTCTAGGGAGTAACTGGCTTGTGGCTAAACATAGTTTCTGCCTATATTTACCCTAGTCATGATCGAATAAACAAAGTTGTCATGCCTCCAAAAATCTTCAAAATCATCCTATTGAACCATGTAAGGAAATAACTTCATCCAAATAAAGGTTATCGTATTAAGCCACAATGTAAGTTGTCTTCATGCATAAGAAGTGTGCAAATTCAGTTAATATATATTAACAATCACCTATATCAAATCATAACTCTAAAAGATCACCCAAAAGGGGGTGAATTAAGTTTAATAAAAGTTTGACTAATTAAGTGTAATAAAAGGATGAGTTAAGGGAGATATTACCAAATGTGGATGAGAGTAGGGAAGAGAAGCTTGTCTAAATCAATTATCCTGGTTAGGCTTCAACTACTTAAGCTTACGTTTAGTCCCCAAGTTACATAAGAAAGTCTCTCTACTAACTCTACCAAGATTAAGATAGGCTTTTGGTTGCCTTAATACAATTCTAGACTTGCACTTAAGTTTCAATCGCTCCCTCTTACAAAGGTAATAATTAAACACTCTTAAGTTTCCTGAACTTAAGATCCTCTATTTCAAGAATAGAAAATATGGATAGAATAAGTTCAAGAATAAACTACTTCTACTAAATACTCTCTCAAAGAGTTAATTTACAATCAATGAAGCTCACTTGTAATACATACAACAACAGAAGATAGGTGAAACAATAAATGAATAAGTTCATGTATTAACTCAATTGTTCGTTCTTGTTCACTATCTTTATAAATGTGCCTTTATATAATGTTCGTAGAGAATGATCCATTAAACTCATGAATATAGCCATTAGAGTTATCTTCTTTTTTGTTTTAAGC